AACCTCCGAGTGTATTTCTGCCATGAAAAACAGCTTCTCATAAAAATACAATCGCCGTTCGGAGTCGGCGTAAAACTGTAGGTCCCTCCGCTTTGTGTGACAACATCAAGGCGCACGCCACAAGTCGGAGGAGAAGCTCGGCCAAACACTAACATATGTGTAAGCGCCAATCTAAAAAAAAGAATAAAAATATATTTGTAATATCATTAAATTTTAGGATTTCCTTGCCTACCAAGATGATTTATAATACCCATTTACTTAATAAACTTTCCAATGGTCCTCTCGTTTCTTCCAAAAAATCTTGCTGTTCCATGGGGCAAAATATTTTTAATGTTGCTTAAAACCCTGCATAAGTGCATGTTTTTGCCTATTACTTCTTTTTAGCTCACACATTTCATAATGAGTACGTTCCACGTGCTTGGCGATTAGCATGGTTTTTACAGGAAGCTATTCCCAGTCGCCATCTTCCATAAGGTTTATTAATGGCTAAAAAAGGTTTTCCTGTAAATCCTGCAAATCGCGAATCACCTGGAACAGGGCTAATATTTTAGTTTTAAGCAACCATCTGATTTTCACGGCAGCTATCTCCCCTGAAAAGGGTCGAAGAGCAGAGAAGGTGCATATTTTGCCTTACAGGGGTGTGAAATTTTAAGGAACTAACACAGAGTTTTCTCACCGGTTTGCCTTTGTTTTAAAATCGAACAGGAAAAGAGAAAGCGGCAATGAAAATGCAAATTTTTTTCGTAGAATTAAAATAACTCTAAGGAAATATTTCCATTAGACACCTTGCTTTAACCGGCTTCAAAAAAAAAATGAGGAGGTTATCAATTCGTCGGAATATTATTCTATTTTTGTATGTATGTTACCTCATAACTTTGGACCAGGTTACCAATTTCTATACTTCTTTTTTAAAGGAAAGAGAGAGATAGTTTTTTGCATACTCGGATCTTACCGAATGATTGATCCGAAGAAAATGTATGTAGCTGTTTTTCAAAACCGTTATCGTCTTTGTGTAACCATAGCTACATATCTCTTTGACTGTTGAAATGCAGGGTTCAAAAAAAGATTAATTCAAAGAAAAATGAATCATAAATAGACATAAGCAAAAAAAATGTTGATAAGAAAACGAATTAAGGATACCTCTATGTAGTTTTGCGGTAAATTTTCATAATTTTATGTTTTTTATAACAATACGGTCGTGTACTAACCACTAACTACAATGCTTATCGCGCTCTCACGCTCTCTCTCTCTCCCTATCTCCCTGTCTCCCTGTCATTCTGCCAACAAATTGTTCTTTGTTTTGACACTAGCACTGCGCAGCTGATTTTCTGAAAATCCCACAACCTCGGTGGTGGTTGTGGCGGCGCCCCTGTTCTTTAATAACAAGCCAGTCAAACAACTAGCGACCTACACAAAAAGCCAGAATACAGACAATTTACTGGTTCTCCCGTCTGTTTCTCCGTTTAGGTGAGCAAACGCCAGCACGAAGCGCTCAACGAGTAGCGCAAAACTGCAAATGACACAGGGTTGTGAGCGGTGTACAGTGGAAAATACTGTAGTACAATTACAAAAGCAACAACAACAAAACAATAAAAATAACGAATCAAAAAGCTACGGAAACAGAAAATAGCAGTGGCTGTTGTAGCAGCGCAGGCACCAAACAGTCAGTGAGCCAGTGAACCAGTGAAGGCAGCAGTGAGCAGCAATTTAGTCTACATTTGTTTTCTTTGTTCACAACTTTACAAAATTAAATTAGTGCGCAATAGAAATTAAAAATTTTTTGTTTAATTTTTCTATTGTTGATGAAAATTACATCACATAAAACTTGAACACTTTATTGGAGAAATGAAAAAGTCATAAAATCGAAATTCGTTACTAAACAAAACGCTGCTAAAGTCGAAAACAAATTCAAAGCAGAGGATATTAAAGAAAAGCAACAACAACCGCATACATACACAAAACGTGAAAAAGGGATTTGACTGCACATTTTCAAGTGAGACAACAAAAGCCATAACGAAAAATAATAAAACAAAAAACTTGCATATTAAACACCAACAAAGCGATTGCATTCGCCGTGCAGCGAGTGCCCCGAATGCAATTTGCTCATATGTACCAAAACTCAAGTGGCCACGATTCAAGCGTCGTCGTCGTCGTCGCCGCCATTGCCTTTGCTGGAGCGAGTGCATGCAGACGAGGAATATTTGGGAGGTATAGCCAGAGCATCAGCAGCAGCCAAAGTTGCAGCCGCTGGAACAGGAAGAGCGCTTGTAGTGTTAGTCATAGAGGTAGCTGTAGAACCTTAGATATCCGTTGTAGTAGCCTTTGTTGCACACCAAGCACAAGCACAAATACGGGTGAACGCCATCAGCCATCAGCATGCCATCACTACTGGAAGCATTGGAAAGAAAATATTTCACCGATTGTCAATTAGAGAATCTGAACGGCGACGACACAGCTGCTGAGGCAGAAAAGGGCCTTATATCCATCTACATACCGCGCTTGCCACCGCTACTCTGCGTGCCAGAGTTGTTGGTATTGAACGACTGTGACATTGACTGTGCGGGTGATTTCGAAGCCATAAAAGAGAAATGTCGCCGCGTACGTGAACTAGATTTGGCACAGAATAAGCTAAATGACTGGCAAGAGGTCTTCCATATACTCGAACACATGCCGCGAGTGGAGTTCCTCAATTTGAGCAAAAATCATTTGGTCGGTCCAATATGCAATCCCTCCACGTTGCCGACGAATAGTCTTAAAAGTATGGTGCTAAATGGTACTTACCTGGACTGGCCAAGCGTTGAAGTGTTGTTGGATAATTTGCCATTGTTAGAGGAATTACATTTGAGTTTGAATGACTACAAAGAAGTGCTCATTGATTCGATTGAGTTTGCCGAGCGTGAGGAAGATGTGGCTGGGGGAGAGGTGGTAAGCGTTGAGCATGCAGATGGCGAGGTTACCGAGCGCAACGAGCGTAACGACAACAAACAAAGTGATTCACACAATTTAACCGCCACAACAGCGGCAGCGGCAGCGTCAGCAGCCGGGACGACAGCAGCTGAGGCACCAGAAACAGAGAGAGAGATAGAAACAGAAACGCCAGCAACACCACCGCCAACACCAACTTCACCCACAGGCAGCTATACAGAATCGAAACGCAAGCGTATACGACCACATAGAAAGTTGAAAACGTTACACTTCACCGGCAATCCTGTGGAAAGTTGGCTCGAGATTTGCCGCTTGGGACGCGTTTTTCCCAGCCTCGAGAATTTGGTGCTCGCCGACTGTCCCATCAAAGCCATACAGGCCAATGTAGGCAATAGCGGGAATGGCAGCAGCACAACCGCCGCCGCCAACAACAACACCGACGAAGACTGCACAACCGCCTGCGAAGATGACGTCGAAATGTCCAACAAAGCTGAATGTCCGCACAAGCATTTTCACAATTTGCTCTTTCTCAATCTCAGCTACTCGAACATTAGCGCCTGGGACGATATCGATCAGATTGCGAAATTCCCGAAATTACGTAATTTACGCGTAAAGAATTGGCCGCTCTGGGAGCGACTCGAGTGTACCGAACACGAACGTCGCCAGCTGCTAATCGCACGTTTGCCGAATGTGTGCCTACTCAACGGTGGCGGCGTGATCAGCGCGGACGAACGCGAGGATGCAGAGCGCGCTTTTATACGCCACTACATGGACAAACCGGATTGGGAGCGACCCAAGCGCTATGATGAACTGGTAGCTAAACATGGCAAGCTGGATCCGTTAGTTAATATAAATCTTAAGCCTGATAAACGCCTAAAAGTATTCATTACATATAAGGATAAAACGGAAACACGTTTGCTCGATGTCTATTGCACGGTGGCCGATCTGAAGACGCGGTTAGAGAAGTTAATCGATTTGCCGGCGAACAAAATGCGTTTGTACTATGTAGATCAAGACTTTAAAGAATTCGGACCAGAACTAATGAAGTATCCAAATAAGCGTTTATATAGCTATAACATACAAGCGGGTGATGAAATCATAATCGATGAGAAAAAATAGGTATTTAAGTTTAATGAAAAGAAAAATTAAAAATTTTAATTAAAATAATTACAAAACGCGTTACGACTAAATGCATCAAAGATGCGATGCTTTTAATTATACTACATACATATGTACATATATGTATGTAGGTAGGACAATGTAAATATTTTATAAAGTTAGTAAACAAGAACTATATAGTTTATAATGTATCTATCTACCTTGTAAAAGAAAACAGCGCTATTTACGAAACAAACTACTGTGGTACACGAGCGTGCTATATGATTATGTGCATATGTATGAATTGTACGAGTATGTACGTAATAAATAAATAATAACAATAAAATATACATACAAAATAATACAATAACAAATACAAAGCTTTTGCTATGTTACTTCTATTTCTTTGTTTACGACTTACTTGTTGCTTCGCATAATTGACTAATGTGGGACTGGATTTCGCAAAACGTTTTAGCCACTAAGTCGATGTTAGTACGCATTAGCATGGATAGTTGCACAGTGGGACGTCGCCCTATAAGCTGCGGCAAAAAGTAGTAACCCCGTATATCGACGGCTGATTGGAAGATCGACCTATCGCGTAAGTCGGTTCGAAAACGCTCTCTGAGATAATACATCGGCAGCTGAGAAAGGGCGTTTTTCGACCAAATTCTGAAGGGCGTTCTTGAGCCATTTTCTCAAAAAGGGCTTTTTCGAACCGGCTGCCGTCAATATTAAAAGTGGAAAATGACAAAGGTCCACGTACCGACACGCCCACAGCTCTTGGGGCTGGATATGGTAAATGTTATCATATTTTAATGAAATCCGGAGAAAATTTTAAATCTGTTAATACTTACGTCAACCAACTGTAAAGATATTGGTGCAAATATTAAAAAGTTATACTTTAATTAAATTTTGTGTACCCTGGTCGTTTGCTCCAAAGTTTTTTTTAATTTGAAAGATAATGAAGATTGCCTATATATCCGGACTATTAGAAATTATCATTAGTTTCAACTACTTGCGTCAAAATCAAAGTTTTTCCTTACAAATTTATTTTTTACAATAGGGGTATTCATTTAACGTCACAAACTGACGACAAACGCGATAAAATTATAAATTCCACGTTTTTGGCAGTTTATCACATTACATGAATACCCCTATTGCATTTTCCTTAAGCTCGCCGATGACTGCAAATATGGATTTTTATCAAAAGCTTTTATTGATTGTGCCATTGTGTGTCGTAGCATCGTTGGTGCGCAGCGGAGTGAAGCTCTCGATCGCTAACTAAGTGTGCTATGCTAATCGTGCATATATGTAAGTATTTACGTACAATAGCAAGGCAAACTGGGTCTTCTTTGCATTCGGTTGTGGGTGCACGCCAACTTGTTTAAATACGCTTCCTATATATGTCAATAATGATTTGCTGCTGGCAGATTAATTGTGCGTTGCGAGAACAAGTACATCTTTCTGACTGACTGGTGAATTATGTATGTAGTATTTCAAGTAGTTTTCAAGTCAATGCTTAAACGGTGTTCGCATGAGGTGATTTTCCAGACAAGTTTAGAAGCGATTAGTTGAATCAATAGTTGGCTGCTCCCAACTTCATTGGAAGCGATTAGTTGAAAGGCCGTTCACACTAGGAGATTGTTGCTTTCAACTAAATGTTGCCTGTAAAATCGCCTCATGTGAACACCGTATTAGTACCACACAAGGCGAATTCATGCAAAGTTGTGTTGCTAGAAAAACTGATTTCTCTCGCCTCGGTACAAAAGTTTCAGAACTCTTATAAGTGAGTGAGAAAGTGAGAGGTTGGAATTTTCTTTCCCTCTTCTTTCTTAAGCGAAGAATAGCTGAAATTTTGATATTTGTGTACAGAAAGCAGAAACAAAATGCATATAAGTTTTTGATTTTTTACTACCTCTATCACCTTGCATGAATTCGCCTTGGTACCACCCGGCAGGGAAAGCTACTATTTATTTGTGAACACCAAGACTAAAGCATAGTTTCATCTAAAAGTCACCAAGTTGAGACTATAGATTAGTATTTTTGTGACTTTAGACGATTTTGGTAAGCAGTTTATCTTCCTCAAAACCGTTATTCACCACGAGAAAACTGTATTAAGGGCGTGTGTGAATCGGTAACAAAGTTCTATGGGGAAAGCTGTTGAATAATACTTTTACTATGGTGAGACAGTTTTGCCAATCTGCTGTGTGAAATGAAATATTTTTTGACAGCAGTAAATTTTTGATAACCGCAGATTTATGCGGAATAAAATATTACAAATTGAAGTGAAATTAATATTTTAAGAAAACATCTACCATCGTAAATTTTCTATGCATTTGTCAAAAATTTCATTAGCCTCATGAGCTACTGAAATTTTATTCACCTCATAGTTGTCAAAAATTTACTCGCCGCGAACTTTGTTGCCGATTCACACACGCTCTAAGCTTAAAATCCAGCTGGCAAGAAAAATCACAAGAAATATTTTTAATTATTTTTGTTGCGTGAAAAAACAGCTTGCTTCTTAAAAAAATCCAAAAAGCCAAATCACATTGAACAGGTAGTATCAGTAGAGCAGCTGATTTGATTTTTTTTTTTCAAATAATTTGGTCTCGAAAATGTCAAATATTATTAATTAATTAAATGTGAAACCATTTTCCATGCAAAACAAGGGATTGAATAGCAGCTTTTGGAACGTCCCCTCAATGAGGCGCAACCGCGCATAACTGGGCGTTGCTAAGGATGGATCAATGTTTCGAGAAGCAAACAAATTTACTAACAAAGAAAGTTGCAACAATTTTTATTTTTTTCCAATTTCAATTTTTTTGTTTTATTTTTTATTTTTTGTATTTCACATGACACTTTGAATTAGAAGAAAAAAAATCAGATTTGACACTTTCGATACCAGAAGAAACAACAAAATACAAGCAAAAGTTGTGTTTGCTGCTACCTGTTTGATATGTCTTGACACGAGGCAAACTGATTTAAGAAATTTTGATAGAAGAAAATTTCTTTTCCATTTCTTGTGCGTCATTTTACGAGATTTTCGTTTTTCAAGCAAACAGAACAAGTTCGCCGTACACCCCCAAGTCACACAATCAGTTTTGCCTCGCAATTTCCTAACACACATTGCTTATTGTCAAAAATCATCAAAATGTAATGTAGCCTGCATTCAATTTGAGAAGCAATTTCATTATCACATGTCGTCTTCAAGAAAGCAATGTAATTAACTAGCTTCTGAAGACCATTTTCCATTTTTAAATCCATTGTATTTTTTTATTTTCACAAAATGCGGATGCCAATGCTCAACAATTGACCAAAATTTAAACTCAATGGAATGCGAAAAATTTAAAGCAACCCTGCAAAGCATTTTTTCAGAGTATTCTGAATTGTAGAGAAATTTTAAAAAATTCGTAGAGATCTCATACGATTTTTGCCGAATTTCCTAAAATAAAATAAACTGGGCACTCTTCGATTTTTTACAAAATTTCGGAAGAAAATCGGCAAAACAATGAAAATAATGCTGCTGTGTGAAGAATTTTTTGTAGAAATTTTCATTTCTTCACCGATTTTCTTAAAAGAATCAAAGTGTGGACAGCTTATTTCATTTTAGAAAATTCGACAAAAAATCGGATGAGATCTTTACGAATTCCTTAAAATTTCTCTACAATTCAGAATACTCTAAAAAAATGGTTTGCAGGGAAGTTACCCATTCAGGAGTGTGTTAGTGAAAAAGTGGGATTATTGAAAATTGAAAGGGGAAAATTGAATGTTTAATGGAATTGAATGTGTAATTACCTGGGAATTGGGCGTACTTTTAGACCGATTTCAAAAGTCTTCAACATGTAGCTTTTTTATACCAAGCGCAAAAATTCTAAAAAGTTTGGTAGAAGATGATAAATTGGTTACCAAGGTATACACACATGGTCATAATTGGGCATTGCCACGCCCATTTATAAAAAATATCGATTTTGAGTGAATTAGCTTCGACAATTGGCATCCCTCTTCTTTGTTGAACCAAAGTCAACCACTTTACAAAATGGGTGTATATTAGTGAAGCGGTTACAGAGATACACATTCTCCAATAATGTATAAGGATCTTTTTTCGCAAAGACTTTTAGTGAATTGGCTTCAATAATTTCTAAAATATCACAGTTTATGTATTTCTGCAAACTAGGGATGGGTAGTGGGGGGTTGAAACTCGATTTTTTCCGAATTTCGAACATTGCCCAACCATTCGATTATTCGATTCGAAATTTGGTGGTGCAAATTCGATTTAATTCGAATTTTTTCGAATTTTCCAACAATTTTTTGAAGTGAAACCTCTTAATCGAGTTCGGAGATGTTTGCGTTAAATATTAACACCATGTTATAAAATCTGTATCGTTCGTTCGATTTTCATAAAGGAGGTAGGTGTCAAATGAAGGGGGTTGCCCAGTAGATGTGTAATATGGTTTTAGCTTTGTGCCATATGAATGTATGTAAGAAAATCAAAATCAAATTATTTAATAAGTTAAATAAATTACCCCAATATGGGTATCAATCGAAATGATTTTGAATAAACTTTATTTTTGAATTGCATTTAAGAGGGGTGCCACCTGTTTGAAAAGTCTAATTTAGTTAAAGAAGTGTTATGCTTAAAATACTATGCAACAATTACAATATTTTTGAGGTGCTTGAAGAGAGTGGTCACCTGTTTAAAAAGTTAAACTCAAATTACACCGTAGTCCACCAAACCCAGCCCAAACCAGCCCGGACTTTGTTAACATTTTCTGAAAGTATACCCATCCAGTAGTAAAACACTCGGTGGATTTGCGAAAGTTAGCTCGTATTTTTATTTCATGGCCTACTAAATTTTCATGTCTCGGCCTAAGTAGTTTTCAAAAACAATGTTAAAATAAATGTCTGAGCGAAATTAAAGGTTAAGACATAGATATATAATAAAATTTCATGGGAAATATTTTCGTAGAACATTTTAACTTATTAGCTCCCGCCTAGAAGGGTAATTTTGATCCTTACTTCAATAAATCCCGCAAAAAGAAAATTCGGAAGGTCGTTAGAGGATTGGTGTACTCTAGAAAATTATTCTCCGGAAAATTTTACTAGGGGTCTTCTCAAGCAAAAGCTTCGTGCTAGCAACGTAAAAGCCTCTACAAATTTAAAATAAAGAATCAACAAAAAAAGTACTTTTTGCAATTTTTTTTTTTAATTTAAGAATAACAGTTCCTTCTTGACACAGATTTTTTGTCTCGATGCATCAGATCGATAAACATGTATTCTTTACTTGCATCCCTAAAATGTGAGATTATTTTATAATTACAGATTAACAAGGGACGAATTTTATATGGCTAATCTCTTGTTCTAATTACAGATTAGGGTGTTAATCTCGAAAATGAGGATAACCTACTTACATATATGTGAACCTAGTATAAGACAAATGGAGTGCCACACACAGTGATGGCAAATTTAGTCAGAAACAAGAAAGTTGAAGAGTTGATGTAAGAGTTGAAATAAATATGAAATTCGATTCTTTCTAGAAAAATTCGATTTATCCGAATTTTAGCAACTCAAAGTTCGATTTCGAAAATTCGCCATTTTGGAGCTAAAATTCGATTAAAATGCGAATATCGAAGCTTCGAATATCGAATTTACCCATCCCTACTGCAAACTATCTCAATTCGTTTAGGCTTTAGGTTCGGGTATAAAAATTATAGTTCAAGACTTTACTGCTGGGTTACTACTCTTTATAGTAGGTACTTCCACAGGTAAGTGCACTGATATGTAAAAGCAAAACGCGCGGAATCACTTAAAATCAGTTAAGTTTTTATCAAGTCAACATATGAAATTAATTTTTATTAGTTTAAAAGTTTACTAATATCTAGTCAAATGCCGAGACTCATACTGAAATGACAAAAAAGGGTGTGTCATTAAAAAATTAAACGAACGTACTGGCCATTTTTATTGACATATTTTTTATTGTCAAACTTTCTTATTAAAATTTGTGTCATTTAATGTCCAGTGGTAACCGGACATTACCCTGCAGCAAGTTGCGTTGTACCTTTGAGTTGAATGCAAATCGTTCGGTCATAAAATCATAAGTCTGTGGAATTATTCCTATTTTAGTTATAATTTTCGAGTGTCTAATTACATGTTTTTTGTTAGATTGCTTACATCTTTCTCACATAATTGATAGAAGTAAGTGGGAATTAGCAAGTCTCAGTGAAATTATAAATACAATTTGGGAAAAAAACAAAGCTTGAAATTCGCAAGCAAATAATTAGCAATTATTACTTATCTTAAGTGTTTATGAAGAAAAAAATGGACAGAAGCTGCCAAACCAGAACAGAAGATGCAAAATGGGTTGCCATCTAGTGGATTAGAGTTTTCGAACTAGCTGCCGAGATGGCTCGATCTTGCACTCAGGTGTCGATATCTTATTGATTTTTGTAACGTTTCCATATCTTTTTAATCAGAGAAAATCGGCTTGACTACTTGAAACGGTCTCGTATTTCGAGACGGCGAATGATTTTCACTCGGCTGTCGGTTATCTTCAAATCTCCGAAGACTTTTGGCAAAAAAAAAATTGCAGCATTGACAGTTCAACATTGCTGAAGTGGTAGATTTGCGATAGGAACGGTGGACCTGAAATAAAAGGCGTTCACTCGTTTGTTGTTTTCCGCCAGCGGACAAATATTGCCGAGGTTTGCTCATTGTGATTTTCAGTAATTTTTAAAACCAACCGAAACGAGCCTTTTCTTCACTAACCATCAAATTATAGGATATAAAATGAGAAGTCTAAATGCTTACGGAAAATTAGATGCATGCTGGTATTACTGGCCAAGACTAGGTTGTGCGTTATTCTGACGTCTCTTCGTTTTCAAGGTACAGTCAGCATTCCGTCTCCGTAGCCAAGTCAGTCCAGATGGGAGCGAAGATAATTACGACAAGTTATGCATTGGCTGTATTTAAAAGCATTACCGATTTACCCAGCTGGCGTTACACAAATAAGGACGCGACCTTTTAACAAGTTTATTTAAAAATATAGCTCTCTTTTTAACAAAACCCATGTGAGTGAAAAGTTCAGACTTGGGCAAGATTTATAAAATCGATGAATTTCAACAAATGTTCATCACAACATCTAACTTTTTATTCAGATCTAAAAGAAAAATTGTAGGTATACAAATTTGTAGCCCATTAAATTTAAGTATAACAAAGTGCAAGTTTTAAGTAACTAGGACTCACCGTTGATTTTTGGTATTTTTTTTTTTTGCTGACGGTGTTATGGCTCTTCCTTCATATAAAAAAATGTCGAACAAACATACTTTGTATGGAAGAAATTTCTAATGGGACATAAAACTATATACCACAATGTTTTTCAGAAAAATCAGACTAAAACGCTTGAAATCTTGATGGATTTTTGTCGAATTTTCCTATTTTTTGTGCATAGTTCGAAATTGGAAGTTACATGGTTTTTTAGATAGTGAGCCATACTTTTATAAAAAAAAATTATACATTAAATAAATGAAAGAAAAATAGCAAAAAGTTGTTCAAATGTTGCGACCCTATTTGTTTACCCGTCCCTGTATTTGATCTCCAATTAATACAAATACGAGCCTACGAGAGAAGGAATTGATGCATGAACCTGTTGAGAATCGCAGACGTATTCTTAATCTTCAATCAATTTTCTTATGTATGAAGCAAACCTTTGTAAAATTGGTTTCAACATCTTTTTTTGTGAGTTCAAAAAAAAGGAGCTGAGTAAGTTCATGAATGTGTTCACACCTTGGCAGCGTGCAAAACTTTTTTATGCTTTGTAATAAAAATCATAATTTAACCATTAAAATTACATTTTTTTCTGATAAAATTTAAACGTTATTTTATGCCTTTTATTTTTTCGATCATAAGTTTTGATTTTTATTCTTTCGATCTTATTATAACAGTTATGTAAGAAAACATAAACATCCAAGTTTAACGATTATGTATTCTTGATCGGAAAAAAATAAAAAAGTAACGATTTTACAATGATCTGAAAATAAAAATTTTGATATTTAACGTTTATTTTCGGTCCCTGAGATCAACACAATGACGATCAGAAATAGAGAGAGCTTTAACTATCTCGATCAGTTCTGAAGAATCCCTTTTATAGATTTTATACCAACTGGCATCTATATGGCCGTCTCTATACATATGGCAGTACAGGCAAAAGCGAGCTTTTCCAGTGTTAGACGCATATAAAATGCACAAAAAGCTGGAAAAAGCTTTACACATGTGGCCAACTTTGACATAGGGTAAAATATCTCTACATATATTCATCAGGGTTCTGTACCAAAGGATATATGTAGGTTAAAAGCTCTCTATGATCAACTCTGGTTTACAGTCAATTAAGGACTGTTGATGTTTATGTTTTGTTTTGTTACTGCATTTCTTTACTACAACTAAGAATGCGCCCGGCAACCCTGCCTAAAACTTTTAAATTCTTTGAGCAAATATTATCCCACCCAGAACAAGTATGCATGTTACGAGCATGTAGACTTATATTTATCATCCATATCTACGAGCTGCACTTGTTTATTTAAAAAATTCAAACACATATTTAAATCTTATCCACATACTTCATGTGGGCACACCTGCTACGAAAATCAACATTTCGGTACTTTTGTAAAAGTAACCCAAAATTACAAAGTGAACGTACTTACTTACCTACATCTCACAATGGCCTCATCGCATTCAGCTTGAAGGTGTTAATTTAGTTGCAAACTTAAGTTTACACGTTCCATTAGGTACGTGAAATTACTATGCCCAAGCGATTAGTCGCCATCGGACTATGCAGGCTGATGAGCTGTGTGACTGACTAATGAGCTGCAGTAAAAAATTTGCTAAAACCGCACATTTCGCTTAATGTTAATGTAAAGTAAATAGTCAACAAAAAAACGAATTTTAAAATTTTAACAATTTCATTTTGTGGGCTCTTTTGTATGTTTTTTTTCGACTGTTTCAATTTCGGCTTATTTGCTTTACGGCCAATTTGAATTTGCTTGATATTTAACACCTAAAAAACGTAGGTAAATAATCGTTGAATAAAATCTTTTTTTTTTTGTGACTAGCTACCAAACCGAGTTTAGCTCACCACAAATCGCGGCTTAAAAGTACAAGTATCCGGCTGGCAGTCGTATGAGTTGGAAATGCATTCAGAAAATCGCGGGTGTATTAAATTTTGAACTGATTTTTTTTTATGTTTAGCGCATAGCAAGAAACAAAGTGTTTAAAAAAATTCATGTTGACAAATGGATCCAGATAATGAGTGTATTCTGTTCTATGAAAAACGTTTTCATTGGAATCGAGCTAAAATTTTTAAAGGATACTCGATAGATCTGTACGATAAGTGCGCTAAAATTTCCACGCGAAAAATTTATACAGTTTGTTATACATACAAAGAAAATTAATAGCTCATTCACTTGTTTTTATAAAAAATTATTTTTTTATTGGTTTGTGTTACATTTCAGATCATGTAAGTCCAACTATAATAACTATCCAGCGAACGGACATCTTCGACCGCGAATGTCTCTCTTAGGAAAGCCGCTGGCCTACAATCGCGGCACACGCCGTGACGCACGTTATCGGCGCCTTCAAAGTCGTGTATATAATTTTTTAGAGAGACCCCGCGGACTGCCGGCTGTTTTGTATCACATCATGGTGTAAGTTCTGTCATAATTAAAACAAATACATTTTTTATTTTTTTCCTCTATTTTTATTAATTTTTTTTTGGTTTCTCCTTGTCGTTCTTCATGCTTTGAATAAATTATTGCGTTCTTCTGTTCATAAAATTTTAATGTCGCATCAATGAAATTTGATGTACAGCGAGTATATTGGCATATATGTACTTTGTATATGCATACATACATACATACATACATACATACATATGGACTCGCACGTACTTGCATACATGTCTACCTACATTCATATACATTTACTGCGCAGTGTTGCGCATTTGTCTGTTTTATTTCACATAAAATAAATTTATGTTTTTCAATTGTCTATGTTTATAGGTTTTTTATGGTATTCACTTGCTTAGCTTTAAGCGTCTTCTCCACGATCGAAGAGTACGAGAAAGATGCAATTTATATACTGTTTCGTATGGAGATAATAGTTGTAATATGGTTTTCGTTGGAGTTCTGCTTCAGGTGAGTCAAGACTTTAATTGAAAATATGTGTGTAAATCTTCCTTCATAACTAATTACGAAACTGAAATAGATTTACAGATTTATATGTAGATACATTAGAGTGGTCCTTAAAATATTAATATCTTAAAATATCAATGCCTTAATTTTGTTCTACCTAAAAAAATTAAGACATCTACAAAAATATCAGAATTACAAAAATGGACCAGGATTCGAAAAAAAGTTTTAATAAAAAAAAACTCAAAAATTCGACAAAATTTTGACTTGAAACCTTATAAATTTTACATATCGATGGCGGAGTGGAAGATCAAACTATCTCGGCAGCCAGTTCGACAACGCCCTATCTCAGAAAACTTTTCAAGAACGCCCTACTTCAGAATTTGATTGAAACACGTCCTATTTCAGAATATTATTGAAAAACACCCTATCTCAGAATTCGGTTCAAAAACGCCCTATCTCAAACGTAAATACATTGAAAATAAGCTGAGATAGGGTGCTTTTGAATCTGCATCTAAGATAGGGCGTTCTTCAACCAAATACTGAGCTAGGGCATTTTTCAATCAAATTCTGAAGTAGGGCGTTCTTGAAAAGTTTTCTGAGATAAAGCGTTGTTGAAAAATTTTCTGAGAAAGGGCGTTTTCGAACTGGCTGCCAAGATAGGTCGATCTTCCACTCAGCCATCGATATATAGTAACTTATTCGTCAAAGTAAACTTTTTTTCGAATTTTCGCGATTCAAAAAAAAAAATTCTTTCAAACCCTGGTTACGATTAAAAACAAAAATTAAATTTTCTCGTACCCTGGTATGTATGAAAGTACTAACATCAACTTTTACGAGCAACCTATTTTCTGCTTCTGACCCAGGTGGGAAATTTAATATGAATGCAGCACAAGCAAGTAGAAATTTACGAAACTTAAACAATGATGAATTAAAAAAAACTCGTGATCTACCGCACTAACACTGAGCTGAGGCTATAGATCTTCTTCTTCTTCGTCCTTTACTCGCAATCGGGTCACAGGGCATTCGCTATGCATGCGCGCCATCTGGTTAGGTTTCTGGCAATCGGTTTGATTTCCTTCCGCTTAATACCCAAGATGCTTCGCCTCCCGCTCGACTGTTCTTTGCTACGTTTCACGCGGTCTGTCATCTTCTTCACGCAAGGATGTGACCTATGCACTTCCATTTCTGTCTCTTGATCCAGATATAAAAGGGCTCCATGTTAGCTTTTCTGAGCATTTGAGATTGTTTTAGCCCAAAAAGTTTGGACGATTATTCCTAGATATCGGTTTACGAAAACTTGCAGGTGCCTAGTTACGGCAATGATAACTTCCAAATGGTGCAACCACTGTATGGTTTGCACATTTGACTTGAAGAGCCCTGGTCTTTAAACTGAAACTCAGATTGTTTCGGCGGAACGTGTTCATCACAGACCGCTCTGGCCTTACTTAATCGGCGGTCAATGTCTTCGTCTCTGCCAACGCCCGGGGCAACTTCGCTGCCAAAATATGTGACATTCCTCCAAGTCTCAAGTGTTTAGTTGGAGACTGTCACAAAACCACAAGCCTGCACAGGCATACTAAGAGCATTGGTTATATTAAAGTCGAGCCTTAGGCCTGCCGCCTAAGCTTCCCTGTGTAGCACATTGCACATTTTGGATAGATCGGAAAGGCGGTGTGCCAAAAGATATACGTCGCCAACGTAGTCAAAGTTCTGTAGTAAACTGAACATGGTCCAAGCGAAGTTCGAAATCGATAAGGGGCCTCAATGCAACACCCAACACATCCCCAAAGAGGAAAAAGGAAGAGAAAGGGTGAGAGTATGCTGCCTTCACTGCTCACTTCGAAGGTCTCAGACATTTTCCCGTAGTGGAGGACACGACACATAGCTTGTACGTATTTAGTAACAACGATGCTCCTCTATGCCGCAGGACTGCTTAAAGACATTACCTACGAACACTGCCAAAAGCTTTTTCGAAATCGACAAACATCAGAAGCAAATGAGCTCTTAATTATACATGAACTTGTCTTGTTTTTGGCACTACAATAGTTTTTTCGATTTGGCACAAGCATCAAGGTCTCCATTCTTGTATATTAGGCAAAATGCTCAATATTCTAACCTTCGGGCATCCATCCATCAAACCAGATTATGCTTAACAGCTCAGCCGGTAAACCATAAGCTCTGAGGGCATCGGCGCGCCGCGGCGTAGCCAGAATGAAATTTAGGTTGGCTCGACCCTATTAAGCTGGCATTTCAGGGTACTATTTTATATATATATAAGGAAATCACACGAATGAGCAATTGAGAGATCCGGAATCTTTCTTGGATAAATCGGTAAAAACTTCCATACCTACCGTTCAAAAACTGAAAATGTAACTTAAGATAGATGACACTTGGAGGGCAACTAATTAGCAAAATGTGGCGGACATCAAATCTGAGTTCGTAGTGAAATAGATGAGCTGACTGATAAATCGGGCAACTGTGGTTGTTTGGAGCATCTCATTGGACCGGAGCCAATTATAGGGATCCCATAAATAAGGCTCATGAGAATCATTGGTGCAATACTGACACCTAAAAAGCAAACAAGTATTTTCTGAAAATGGCAGACAGCGTGGTGGCGGAGTTCTTTCGCAGGCAGAGCAAAAATTAACTTAGAGCTCTGATCTGACTGATTGCGGTACAAAATCTGCAAGGACGATATATGGTCAGCAAAGACATCATCGACGACCCACTACAGTGCACTCTGTCCATATCTTGCTTCGCGGATGAGATAATAGAGTACAGGTAATTTTTTCTGCAGCTGTTAGGCCTTCTCCAGACTTTTATGGTGCATTTTTGGGTCAGATGTGCTAATAATGGGCCAGCTACGTTCTCTATATTGATAGAAATTATTTATTTACTTCCTCCGACCAGTTAAGCTAACTATCTCAATTTTAACCTGTCTAAAAGATTATACAATTTAATGTAAGTCACTTATTTCACGAGTCTGTATTTTGCCCTTGAAATTGTATGTAGTTTTTAAGTGTCCACTGCACTTGACCTTTTTACCGTGAATTTGCATTCAAACCTTCATAGAATTATTCATTCATTCTTTTTATGAATAACGCGCAATTTTAAACTTCCACATATCCGTTTTGTTATCATCGCTTTTGACAAACAAACGTGTCAGAAGTCTACAAGGAATTTTATTGTAAAGGTGTGCCGCTTAAAGGATGGGCTACCGAAGATCGATTACATTCTAAATGCACTTGTTGAAACATAACAACAATACAAGTTATGCATGCCAAACAATTTTCAAATGTACAAATTACATACATTTGTATATTGTATGTACATACATTAGACCGTACGACCTCCCAACAAGCAAACAAAGAAGTTCACCGCACACGCCTGAGGCTAAAATACTTTTGCAAGGCAATTTCGAAATTAATTTGTTTATGCCGAACCTAGTTGCCGCCTTTTTACAATTTCCGGTGACACCTACATAAGTATATTCGGCAATATTTTTTTTTTTTATAGGACTACTGGAATAGTCGAAATGCTTCCTTAGCAAAAGTTTAATTATTTTTGGAAAGCTTAAATTTACTAACTGGTAGGTAAGCAAGTACCAGAACTAGTATCAAATTTCTCCTCGAGAAAAGAACGTTGAAGAATGTGAAGAAGACGACCCCTACTTTAGGCAAAAAAAGCTCGGCTGATAACAAAAACTCCTCGAGACAAGAACATGTCGATGGCTGAGTGGAAGATCGACCTGTATCGGCAGCATGTTCGAAAATACCCTATCTCAGAAAATTTTTCAACAATGCCCTATTTCAGAATTTGGTTGTATAACGCCCTATTTTAGAATTTGATTGAAAGTGCCCTATCTCAGCTGCCGATTTAAAAACGCGTAAGGCGTTTTTGGACCGAATTCTGAGGTGGGGTATTTTTCAACCAAATTCTGAAAGGGGCGTTCTTCATTCAAATTCCGAAGTGGGGTGTACTTAAAAATTTTCTGAGGTAGGGCGTTTTCCAACTGGCGTTTACGTTAGGGCGTTTTGGAACTGGCTGCCGAGACAGGTCGATATTCCACTCAGCCTTCGATATGTACGTTCAGCAAAAAAAAACAACTTTTTTTTAGAATTGCATCGCAAAACTACTTTAGATTCGAAGGTCTAATTTTAATATATTAGGGTAGTCCTCAAAATATCAACATCTAAATTTCGTAAAGAACACCCGTTTATTTTGTTCCACGTACAAAATAAAGATATCCACGAAGGTTTAAAATTAAAAAAAAAAAACACCTTTATTAGTGAAACTATTAATATATGTAAATTGATAAACTCGCTGAGTTATAGCTGGCCAAAGTAAAAATTTTTTAGAATTTTTGCGATTTAAAAAAGTAAAAAAATTTTCACATCCTGGTGACGACCTGGTGTACGTAGCACTTTACTTTGCATGTAATTCAATGTAATATTTTTTTCTTTGTATTTATTGATTTTAAAAATTAAATTTTTTTAATTATTTTATAAATTTCTACCAAACAATAAATGATATTAACTTTAGTGACTCCTATTTTTTTTTTTAATTTGGCAATTTTCCCTCAATACCTTTAATATGTACGTAGGATAAAAGGGATGCCTAATGATGTTAATATTTTTAAGGACCACCCTAATGTATATGTATAGTACATTTGTCAGTGCGTCAACTACACTCTGTGTGCAAAAATCCTTTTACATAAATAAATATGCAAGTATTAGAAAAATATATAAAATAATGCCTATGTGTGTACATACATATGTATATCAATTAGCGTAATGACTTCCTGTTCCACTAAACGCGCTTTATTCGCATCTATCTAACTACCTACATAGTGTGTTTTTTTTATTTCTGTCCGTTTAATGTGTTCTACTTGTATTCTTTTTCCTCTTTTTCATATCACCGCCCACAACAACAACAACAACATCAACAAACATCAGGCTGTGGTCATCCGGTTGTCGTTCACGCTATCAAGGATGTGTGGGACGTCTGAAATTCGTGAAACGACCCTTTTGTATTATAGGCAAGTCTACATAGCTACGACGATCCCGTCGTCTAAATTATACCAGCTTATGATTACAAAACAAAAAAAAAAACCAATACTAATTAATTTATATATTTTATTTATGTTTGTATGCGTTGTGTTGTTTTCCGCCACGCAGATATTATAACAATAGCCGCCTCGTCGGTGGTGTTGGGCATGGGCACCTCGGGTCAGGTGTTCGCAACAAGTGCACTTCGGGGGCTGCGCTTCTTTCAAATATTGCGCATGGTGCGCATGGATCGACGTGGCGGCACGTGGAAGTTGCTGGGCAGCGTCGTTTACGCACATAGACAGGTAAAATAAAAAAAAAAAATAATAAAAAATTATTTAATTTAAATTTGTTAACCAAGTTTGTGGAAATTATTGCGTATACGAACATTTAGTCAGTTCATTAATTTTGAATGAAGTTACAAACTTTTTTATCTATGAATATTTATATTTGAAAAAAATAAAATCAAGATATCGCACATTCTAACTGCGTACTCTTTTATTTGCCAGGAACTCATAACGACTATGTATATAGGTTTCTTAGGACTGATATTCGCATCATTCCTCGTTTATTTAATGGAAAAAGATGTTAATAAAAAATTTAGTAATTTCGCACAGGCGCTTTGGTGGGGAGTTGTGAGTACATACATATTTAGAACTTGACAGCATTTTTATAAAATTTCTAATTACTTGTAATAAATTTCTTTGTTTGTGTTCTAAGATCACTCTGTGTACAGTGGGCTATGGTGATATGGTGCCTGAGACGTGGCAGGGAAAATTAATTGCGTCCTTCTGCGCGCTACTAGGCATTTCGTTCTTTGCATTGCCAGCGGTAAGTGAAAATGAGACAAAGTTAAATTTTGTCGTATTAAGTGCATTTTTATTTAGGAATTATATAAAAATCATAATTGTGATATACTCGCCTCTCTTTTAATAAAAATTCAAAAGAGTTGTTACTCGACGAAAGTGTGGTTAGACAGTGTTTTGTACAGACTCCGATGAAAGAAATACCTACATTTTCATTTAGAGATTATAGATGTTCTATACATAGTATAAAGCAATCTGTATTCATATGAGTAAAATCGTTAGTTTTGGAATTGATATTTTTTCCAAAAATATTTCGGTTTTAAGTTTTCTCAATTTCTATAGTAAGCAATACGACTACGTAGAGTGACGGTGAACATGCTTCGTCCAAAAAGCAAAGCGCCTTCCCACGCCGTTTGAGGCCGAACAAAGTTTTAGACAGGGCGACTTCTTAGATACGGTATTGGAAAGCGTAATACCAAAGACATTGACTTCGTCGGCCTCTTTAAAACGGCCGTAAACGCATCTTTTTCCAACTCAGTGAACGAAGCAAAAGACACTGGGCTAACTGTAAAGGAAGCCCATTCAAATTACTTCTTGGCAATGCACAAAGTTTTAAGTACTGTAGTCCTTTGTCCACCGAGAAACCGCATTTAAACCAACAATAATGTTAGCCTGGAGATAAAGCAAAAAATAATAAATAATTCTTGGTAACAGGTGTTAATTCACACTCGGTACTAATCTTCGAGCATGTCCGTCCTTTTAAGTATGTGACGCAGAAACATGGTCAATGAGATGACGCAGGGAATAGGAGGCAGCTAACAAGGCGAAGTCAAAAACGAATTCGAAAAGGCAGACGAATACGAATACGAAGATCATGACGAAGTCGAAGACGAAGACGAAAACTAAGAGGAAAACCAATTCGAAAATGAAGACGAATAAGAATACCGTAAAATGAGAAATTCTAAGATAAAGGCGAATATGAGTACGAGTACGAAGACTAATGAGACGACGAAGGAGAATACGAAGGAGAATACGACGACGGATATGAATATGAAAATGCAAAGGGGAAAGCGAGTACGGCTATTAAGACGAAGACAAATACGAAGACTCGGGATAAGGCTAATATAAGTAAAATAATACATATATATATGATAACACAAATATTCGAAGTATGAAACGAACTATGGAAAGGAGTGAGAAATGAATAGGAGGAAGTTTCACACCGCATGTTATGGCATCTTTTGCAGGGAAAAATTTAAATTTTTCTATGCGAACTATTGAAACCTCAAAGTGAATCCAATTCAATTTTTCTGTGAAATTACATCGAAGTAATTTTGGAAAAATCTTTAAAAAATTCATATCTTCCAAAATTTTCTATTGATCTTTGAAAATGGTACCTAGTTTTACTCGGAATGAGACATTCTTTTCAAAGTAATGACTAAAAGGGGTTATTTTTATTCGATATTTTTAGAATAATTATTAAAAAAAAAACAACGCGATTTTTTAACCGATTGAAACTTTTACTCCAAAAACATACCAATTAAAATTGTATGAGTTATATGTCAAACTGAAAAAAATGTTCTAAAGACTAAGATTAAGAAGTTGGAAATTTTTATGAAAATTTGTTGAGTTTTCCCCAAATTTTGATAAGGTTCGAAACTTTAATTTATATGGATTTGGTTAAAGTTTGGACAATATTTATATAAAAATAAGAAAAAAATTAGCTTGCAAAACTTTGTGAATTTTTAAAAAAAAGTCAACACGTTGTCACTTGTTTCATATACACACACATAACACTAAAGATCACCTTTAAGACTTTTAGGAAAAGCCCAATTGGCACTCCAATTTAAATAGACTGGGCACTTGCATGCAACTACACACAACTGTACTAAAGAAACATTCACTTGACATTGTGGCGAGGCATCAACCTACTGCCCTTTATCATTCAAAATTATTTTTCGCGTCTACTTGAAAATTTAGTATGTATGTATGTATATGAAGTGTTTTATAAAAATAAATATGAATCAATGTTGTAGTTACATACATACATATATCAAATGTTTACACACAAAAGTTTAAAAATTACACGTGTTCATATGTATGCTACATATGTATTTATATACGAGTATGTATGTATATGTATGTAAACACTAATTGACTCTTGTATGCTTGTGTATGCGTATTTTTAGGGCATTCTTGGCAGCGGTTTCGCCTTGAAAGTGCAGCAGCAACAACGGCAAAAGCATATGATACGCCGAAGGCAACCCGCCGCAACGCTAATACAAGCCGTTTGGCGTTGTTATGCCGCGGACGAACATTCAATATCGATCGCCACCTGGAAAGTACACGAAGTGCCTTTACCAAGTCCGCCCACCTCGTAAGTATAAATTAAAAAATAAATAAAAATAAAACCAAGAGTTGAAAGTTTTAAGCAAAAAAATTTGCGAAAATTCTTAATAGCTTCTAGCCTTAGAATTAGTGAGTGCATTTTTTGTGAGCATGCTCCAGACTGTCGCTTAATTGCTTGAGAATCTGTCTACATAAAAACTTACAAACAAAAATTACAACAACCATATTACTGTAGTCAAAAAATATGATACACTGAAAACTGCGATGCTGTTAATTAAAAAAAAAAATATTAGGAAATTCAAAATTCACAAAATAAATCGGATGTTTGCCGAAACGAAAAATGTCACATTGATCTATGTACATACACCGTTAGCACAGCCAGGGCAGCATCAATACTAAAATATATTTAGTTAAAAAGCTTCAATGTGTGCGCAACAAATTTTCTTCACACTACTTTTTTAAAACACTTATGGCACGTTTACACTGAGCAAAACTTTATCATAGTTCGAAAAGCAGTTACATGTACACCACTTTTTTAACTACTTTTTTCACATTATTTTATTTTATTTTCAATGGGTTCTTACAAATAACTACAAATGTGTATATATATTTTTTATATCTTGTTTTGTTTTTACAGTTCGGAATATTGGGATAGATTATTTAAGAATTTAAGTGAATATAGGTAAACAAATATATTGAATTTTTACATATCAAAGAACACATGAATACCCACATACATACATAGATCCATAAGTGTCATAGAATACATGAATTTGTCCGTGATTCTTAATCCTATACTAGGTACATGCACACATACATACATATTTATCTAGCTAGTACTTAAAAATGTATCTATGTACTCCGGCTACAGCGCATAGCTAATTCAAATCAAGTGTATGTATGTACATAAATGGCTCATAATACAAGTACCTTTTAGCCGCCTGTCAAACAATAAATGGAGCTAACGTCAACACTTTAGCACACCCATACCAACACTACATACCTATCTATGTAGTATTGATTAAGAAATTGTAGCATTTCAATTAATTTTATACACACCTACATACTTACTACATAACTCGTAGCTGTGTAAGTAGTCAATATGTATGTAACGATGTCAATGTTACTAAGTAGGTACTAACTCACTTTAAATATTCTGTCTATGTAGTTCCTATAATTTCCTACTATTTATTTATGTACGTATGTATGTATGTATGTATTATTTCTCTATCAATTTAGACGAGCTTCATCTAGCTTTAAGCACAATGCCTCATTCGTTACACGTCTACCAACAATCAGACGGCATCGGAGTCAAAATATACCGCCACGTGAGGTGAACACGATTATACCGCAGGGTCCCAGCAAGATCACCAAATATACACGTACAATGCGAGAGATTAATACCTCTGTGGAGAATTTGGGTATGTTTAGTTGTTGTCATAAAGCTATGCAAAAGCTAACTAATGGTATATAACAACAAACAAAAAAAGAAAAACAAAAAACAGTTTTGCACCAAACTTTTGCATCATTAACGAGAAATACATACAAACAAACTAGTTTACTCATACATACATACATATCTACATGCTCATGCATTTGCTTTTCAAAATCGCTTCTAACTCATTCATAATATTTAGACAACAGATTGTGATTTGATTTCCATAACATAAATTTCATACAATACACCTGCACTACTTTATAAGATCAGTAAAATTTAATATTTAGGATGCCTCACATATATTAATATGTACAACGAAAAAATCGGTTGTATTTCTCCAAGCGAATCATGATATTTGGTCCTGACTTCCATTTAAATAAAATATGGGATACAACTGCAAAAAAAAAAGAATTTTATGGTTTATGAGAATTCCTATAAAATTAATTTTATATACTTTAAAAAACATGATGAACCAGTGAACCTGCATGGCGTAAAACACTTAAATTAAATTAAATTTTAGACTATTGTAACCCCTAAAAAATATTCCAAATGTTTCATCTAAATAAATTCGTCCAACTGAAGAAAGACCGCCCATGGTTTCCGTTTTTCATTTTATCAAATTTAAAATTACCCTGTACCGCTGGAAAAAAGGTACAACGGTACAGATCTGATGACCTTTACAAAAAACGCCTTCCCATATTATATTTATAAGTATGTATGTACACTAGGGTGTCCCGGCAAAAAATTTTTTTTGAGCTACACTATCGCAAGAGGTATCGAAATTTGCGCAATTTTACACATGTTAAGAAAAAGGTAAACAAGTTAGAATTGTGTGTCATTTTGAGGGCTCTACCACACCATGAAGTTTTCCACGTATTTTATATGAGAAAAAACACTTCTTCGTAGAAATAGAGATAAAATCCTTAAAAGTCAATATTTTTCCATTTGCAAACTCTTTTTCTTTTTAGGAGACTTCAAAGATATCTTTTCTGCGAATAACCTTTAAACAATTGGTGGAAATCTGCATGCATATTTAGTACATAGAATTGAGTTGGGACAAGGGACCGTAATTATTGTAGCTAAAATAATATAAATCATTATTTTATGATTTTCGCTTTTTTGTAGTACCAAAATAATTTCATTTTTGTTTTGGTTTCGATCAAAAATAAAGACTATTACATAATTTATTATTACATAATTTTTATTTGTTCGCTCAGAGATAATAATTATCATTGAATTTTATTTTACACTTAAAAACAAAATTATTTATAACATTTAAAAGGTAATACAGAGACAACCAACTGAAATTTTTACTTAAAAATTCTGGAACTGTTTCCTTTTATTAGGGTGTCGCACCACTGGAAATAATATGTCGCAAATCACGCTAGTATAGCTTTTGGGTTTTTTGAACAATCATTATTCGTAAGTGAAAAAATTAACGGCAAAATATTTGCGCGTAAAAAATTAAAATCATAAAATAACCATTATTTTTGATCGAAAAAATAAAAATCAATATTTTTCATTTTTATTGGTAAAAGTTGAAAAGTAAAAATTAGGAAAGTCCCAAAAATCCCGGTATGCTTGGCTATATTTCTTTTTTTATTTAATAATATTTAAAATAAATCCCTGGTTTGGAGTCATAAAAGAGACCAAATTTTGTGGTTCACTTGGAAACAACTATTTTTTGGGCGAGGCATCCTAACATATATTATTTTTTTAGTACTTAGTTCTTATCAACGTGTTCTTACATATGTTTTGTAGTCATATCAGTTATCTAAAGCTGGCATACGAATAAATCAGTTTCACATTTCAATTAAAGGCTATGCAGGGTTGCATAGGTAGGGCCAAGCAACACTTGAGGTCTAATAAATTACTTGCAATAGTAGTAAAAACTAAATGCAATTACCCTGCATACCAACATAATTATGTATGTATGTATGTTAAATGCGTTCGCACCTCTGTCCAAAACGGTGTTATTTAGTAGCACATCTATGATTTCATTAATGTTGTTGTTGTTATACAAGTTATGAAATAGCAAAATTAAAATATGTTCACTTAGCTATTTCCACGGTTGTTGCACTTTTGAATTTTCATTAAACATTCGCATTGTTTTTATAAGTTTTCTTTTTGTTTCTTTAGGCTTTTAATTATTTCTTATATTTTCCTTTGGTGCCAATGCGTTTCAAAGTACCTACGTTTTGTTGATTTGTTTATTACTTTTTGCTGCCTTCTTCTGTACATTTCCAGAAATTATACAAAATGGCAAAACTTTAGATCCCTGTTTTAGTGAAGATTCGGTGGTAGAAACAAGTGTTTTGAAAAAGAATTCGGATGGTAAGTGCAGTTGTTGTCAATTTCACGTCATTGGTAATGGATGTTGTCGTCTAGTTGTTAATCACATCTAACCAAAAGCAAAAACAAATCGTAAATTACAAAAAATTTTAAAATATTAAATCAGTTTAAATTTTCACAATATACAGGGTGCATGGGAATAACAAACACTACACACATATCTAAATTATTGCGTATAAAAATCATAACTTCAATTGTTGAACATTTAATTGGTTTATTTAAGTATAACATGGATATAAACTTTAAAATTTTTAAAACTGCCAAATTTTTATCAAGCAAAGTTTTAAGTTGTCCACTGTCCCACATTTTAGAGCTTAAGATAGATCTCTCATTGTTCTAAATAAATATTAATTTGACTGACTAAGGCTCACAAATTGGTTCAGGACTGAATGGTGGTTATGATTTTTATACCTGACAACAGCGCTATATTTTAAGAGGTCTTGTTTTTATGTAATGAATCTATTTCTAACCGAGCGGACTTGTGCACAAAAGTTGTATATCTTTGTTCGCGTAACGGTTGTTTTTAACAGCCCAGATGAATCGAGATAGATATAGATATACATACATACATACATATACAGGGTTTCCTATACCAGCAAATTACTCCTTCTAAAATGGATGAAAATGTTCTCTATTGGAAAACGCAAAAATATGAACTGCCAAGTCGATCTCGAAGGAAGTGAGTTAAACTGACCGAAAGTCCATTTGTTTTAAATGGATACACATGTTTTTTATGTTGTCGAAAACTTTTTCTGCAATGCATTTCCGGTCTGTTCAACACATTTCCGGTCGAATCCGGAAGTCGGTAATACGACAAAATGCAGCATCCCCGACGATGATTTATATTTTTTCGTTTCCACAAAGCAATTTCGTTCATTTTAAAAGTCCAGGACGAATTGAATGCAAATCTGTGATAAAAGCATGTACATATATCCCATTTAAAATATGGACTTCCGGTCAGTCACCTGAATATTTTCTATAACATCATAACCAATTTTATACGGGCCAAGAATTTCCCATATCTGTCTCTGCTGTCCAGAATTTGTACCTCCGAAGTAGTAAGAATCTGGCCAAGGACTGTCATTCTAATCTCTGTCCTAATGTGAATAGGAAAGTTACTTTCATGGCCCACACTTTGTAAAATTAACATTTTTGTGACAAAATCTAATATACCGAGAAAATTTTGTTTTTGATGCAGAAATGCATCTAAATGCCTCAGGAGTATTTCTGCATCAAAAAAAAATATGATGCAAATTTAAAAATAAATTTAATGGGCTTTTCGGTTCTCCCGACCATGAGGGTGGATTTCTTGAAGAAAAAACCACGAAAATATATGTTTAACCTTTTTAAAAATTTTTGTTTTCAAGTCAAGTTTTCAAAGGGCAAACAATTGAAAACCCTCTATTCTTGAAGGTTGTTTTAAAGGTCGAGGTAATTTTTTGAGAATATTTATCCTGAATTCTCCGTCTCAAAATCTTTAGAACATTGTAAAATTTATTTTGCCAGCTGTTCTGTTTCTCGAGATATTAGATTTTGTCACACAAAAAGTTCATTTTCAGCACTGTGCGTCCCAGATCGAAGGAATTTGGAGTTTTCGAGATCGAACAAGCCAGTACATTGTGATAGTGAAGAAACATTGAGCTATCCTCTTCTCAATTCTAGGATACCGAGTGACCGCCGTAGTCGAACTTACACATAGCAGGAAGCTGGACTCTGAGCGAATTTACATTTTTTTCTAATTTCGGTCGCCCCTTCGGCAGGCAATAGTAAGCCTTCGAGTGTATGTACTTCTGCCATAAATAAGCTTCTCATAAATGCCATTTGCCGTTCGGAATCGGCGTGTGTGTGACATCAAGGAGCACACCAACCGCAAATCGGAGAGACTGGGCCAAAACACTTAAAAAAATGTGAACGCCAAATATTTTCTTTTAGACTCCTGTGATCTTAATTAAGGACCTGGGAGGCGAACAGGCAATATCTATGCACTACCGCCACTACATTGATGGCTTGTGGAGGTGCCTTAGCAATTTTCTTGACCATTTCGAAGTCGATCCTAAACTTTAATGTGGCTCGATTAAATGATAGATTCCGAATACTTTTTTAAATAACTAAGTTTTTCTTTGCTTTTTATTAATTGTGTAATTCTTTTTTCGTTATTCATATGTACATACATTTATGGATCATATATCTATGTATCAGTTTTTTTTATTTTGATTTTTTATTTCTATGTTTCGCCTCAAACTTATAGTCCGAGAGATCTTTTATGTACAGTTAAACTTTTTCCTAAAAGCTTAAGGTCATGTACATAATTTCCATTATTTATCAGTGTTTACCACTGCATAGACATGTTGGCCGAGGTTTCTAGCTCCCAAATATGTTTTTCATATGAACCCTCAAGAATAGAAGTTCCCTGTAGCCAAGATATTAACACAAGAACTTTACACATATGAACTTTTATACATATGTATGTACTTACATAAATATTTTCATATGTAAACCAGCCAGCCATGGTAGCCCTCGAGTTAAGTCGTTAGTAGAACCGCTATTCCTTCCATTTTCCAAACTACAGGTCCATACTGATGCTGGTGCTAAAGCTGCCATACTCGTACATACATACATATATATGCACCCCTGTCACTTGATGGTGTTAATAAATTCTCTTTGATTGTAAATCTTCTGCAAATACTATTTTCGTTTCACGCTTAGCCACCAAGCCCAAGCCCCGTCTAATCGATTGTCAACAAAGGTTCAGCTCTCTTTCTCTTGGAAGTTTTTGTAGGAATGCAACGGACAACTATCGACAACAACAGCAAAACCAACCACAAACACCACAACAACAAACCGCTCCCATCTTATCACAACAGAAACAACAGAATTTCACAGCACCCAAAACCACCGCTTCAACAATTGCCAATAATAAATGTACGCTGCCAAATAATTGTGCCGCCACGAATAAAAATGAAATGATGGTTAATAGCCAGAACAGTAGCAACGCTGCCTTGCCCAACAACATACCTGTGATTCTTTGTGGTTTCATGCAGGGCGATTTTTTCGGTTCGAATTTTTCACTGCCTCAAACATCGAACTGCGATGAGTCGCAAGATAGCCAGCTCTACAATCGGATGCAGTCTATTGAGCCGCGCCTAATGGCCAGTGTGCATGACAAGCGTGGCAATAGTATGCGCGAGGGACGATGCCGCTTTGATGGCATAACCATTGGCGGTGGAGGTGGTGCAGGCGCTGGTGGACGTGGTGGATGTTTAGAAAGTGGGTATTCGTGTTGTGAAATTAGCGATGCCTACCCCCCATAAGTAGTAGAAAGAATTGCTGTACACGTACAACTCCAATAGTATGTATAGCTTATGAAAAGAATGTATAGCTATAATGCTAAAATCGCTCGTCAATTCGTAAACTCAATGTTCTCTTTAGTGTGGAAACTATGTAGAATTCTTGCTAGAAACCAAATGTGGAAAATTAATAATAACCAGCGAAATTGAAACTTCTTTGGCGTGTATGTATGCGGGTGTGTGTGTGTGTAGAAACGTAATTAATTTAAAAACTATTAAATCTTCGCAAAAATTAGTGCATCAAAAATAATGTTGTTCTGCTCACAAAGACTTGCGTAGTAGAGTATGAATACATACAAGTAAACACAACCAAGTATGTACCTCTACTGATTCATTAGCTTCAACGTATTCGAGCCGCAGTGTGGCTCGTTCCTAATTGCATTATCTAAAATGTTTATCATTTTTCATTTTGTTGTTTATCTTAACTGCATAAGTACATATGTATTGCCTATACTAACTTAATACTAACCTACATAATCGTACCTACTTATTACCAATAGGAACTCTCATACATTATTTACTACTCTCTACCTCGCTAAACTTAACAAAACTTGTACTCGTAATTTTCATTGTTGTTGTATAATATTTGATTTATGTGGCCGTAAAATTGTTAGTGTTATTTTCGTAGTAACCTTTTGTACTAATTTTATGCTTCCATTTTTGTCTTCTCTCTCTCTCTCTCCGTCTCTATCTCTGTATTCAGATGAAGATGAAGAGCCGCGATGTACGCAGCTGACTTGCCAACACAAAACGGCCATAAGATTCATCAGAAAGGTAAGCAAAATTAGGTAATTGCTGGTAAGTGTTGAATTACTGGTGTTTTCATTAGACTGTACCAGAATTCGGATACACCCCGAGCTTTTCGCCATATCTTCGGCATATACACGCATATCTTAAAGTATGATATACCGATGTTCTTGCCTCGAGGATACTAAGTTCATTGACCTCGAGTATACCGTTCTATACCCACCTACTACCCTAACGTGCCCGCACCAGTAAATTACCGCTCGCCAAAAATCGTTAAACTTTGGCAAAAGAGGTATTTCGATTCGGAGGCAATTTCGATTTTTTTTTTTTGCCAAACGTGGGGGTCGCTTTTTTCATTTTTCATAATATGTATCCTCGCCACTTACAGTCGTATCTTAAGGTGTTATATATCGATGTTCTTGTCTCTTATATACTTCTTTTGTACCAAAGTTCATTGGTTTCAAGTATCCCGTTCAAGTTCTTATCACCATAACATACCACCCTAATGTCAGTAAATTAAAGCTCAACAAAAAATGTTAAACCTTTGCTAAGGAAATATTTTAATTAATCCAGTAGAACTATTTAACAATAAATTTTAGAGTGTGGCGGTGAATTGCGCAGCAGAGATTTCCAGGTTGCCGGAAGAGAAGAAATTTGAAATGTCAAGAACATCAACATCTCTGCTGTGAAATCCACCGTTACACTTTTCACCACCCCTTTCAATATTCAATCGTCTCTCATTAGGTGCCTATAAAGCCAATTCAATATTAGGAACAGGAAATCTGGATTTTCTACAATACAAATTTTCACAGATCAGCCCATTGAAAGAATAGCCTATGACTAATCTCTTCTAAAATGCAACTGAAAAGAATCAAAAAATATAAATTTTTGTGTGAAAATTAAAATATGTAAAGAAATCGATTAATTACCAAAGGAATAAGTCAGCATTTTTTCGATATGAAAATTTTGATGTAGTTCGGTTCGTTTAAAGGAGCTCTGTTGAATTGCATCAACTTGGCCATAACGGAAAATTGCTCACTTATTGCCTTCGTTAACTAACCGATGCAAATGTGAACTTTGCCTTCTTTACAGCTGAAATACTTTGTGGCTCGCCGCAAATTTAAAGAAGCTCTTAAGCCATATGATGTAAAGGATGTGATGGAACAATATGCGGCAGGCCATGTGGACTTGCTGGGTCGGGTCAAAAATGTGCATGCAAGGTAAATATCACTACACAAAAAAGATACATAAATAGTTACTCGTAAATATATATAAAAAAAACCCTTTACTTTTTAAATTACAAACAACAGACTCGATCAAATCCTGGGTAAGCAGGGGTCAAAATCAAAAGATGTTTACGCTTCTAAAATTAGTCTAGCTTCGCGTGTAGTTAAAGTAGAGCGACAGGTGAGTGAAAAATTCCTTCTATGTTTTGTGTTTTTAATTACACCCATTTTTAATTTTTTTATTTATTAACTTTGTAAAAAAAATGTAGGTCGCCGATATTGAAGAAAAATTAGATATACTCATTAAAGCCTATATGGAGGATCGTGAACGCCTCTTAGCACTTCCATTACCAACACCGCCTATAGTTAAACATTCCAATAATAATAATGAAGATCACTCGAAACGGGGCGATTGTGTTATGGGCAACAATAACAATAAAATTAGTAATAGTATAAATACTAATAATACACATGCGACAATCAGTGCTAGAAGGGATTTCTTCTCGGCGACGAAAATCGGGATCAGAGATGATAATAAGGTAAGGAAATGTTTAATTCATATACATGAAAAGTGGCTTGAATGAAGTTGATGGCAAAAATTGGACACTGTAAGTTTTCTTGCTGAGGTGGAGCGACAGAAAATTAGGTGGCCAGATACCGTCTACAATTTTCTACATTAGATTTCACATTTATTGTAAAGTGTTTTTATAAATATTTTTTGATCTATGTACTTTCTGCTATATCCAGCATTCTTCTCCTTATTCTTCCCTAAATTCTCAATGCAAATAAAAATAACAACTCGGATGTGATCCTCTTATAAAGCCAGCATATCTTGCAAGATTATAGTCTTATTTTCTTGAGATTTGGCGGTCCAATTGCTTATTTAGTGTGATTTTTCAGCCTAGTCATATGCAGTTAGTGCCCTTGGTCTCACTGTGGTAAGGCCCGGGCACCTTCTTTGAGCTCGAGTACTTAGAGCTCAACCTGTCTTTTGGCATGCACTTCCATGGGCCAGTGTTCTGTGAAGTCAGCCAAGAATTTGTAGGTGTTTTCCTTGCCTAATCTCAACAAAACCTATATCTGGTAATCGTATACGTAAATCTCCGCCTCCGCTAATCTTTCAAATGGTTGATTTCAATCATTCTGCTTTTAATACCACTGAGGCAACCGCCAACGTACACCACGTGGAACACATTTTGTGCAGATCCGTGCCGCGCTAGTTCATCCGCTGTCTCATATCTGCTTACTTATGTCCCTATGCCTACACCCACCTGAATTGAGATTCACGCCTTTGTTAGCCACAGAAGACAGCCTCCGATCCCCCTTTGGCTAGGAAGATCGCTGAGCGACATGAATACCCTCCCCTTTTCAGTCTGCGGATAATGCGCTTGTAGTCAAAGGTGCATCCTCTCTATTTTTTCACGGTGATACCGACTCGAAGTTGCATTTCCCGCTCAACTCATACACAGCCCAGTTTCCTGCTATAGCCTTATAGCCTGATACCATAGTCTGACTAAGAAATAATCAAACGCAACTGAAAAAGAGGTCAGGCTATTAGCTTTAAGTCCAATGTTTATGCTTGCCAGTTGGCTATCAGAGCAGTTGTTTACCTCTCTTGCTATCATCGCATAGCAGCTACCTCCCTAGGAATTACTACAGAGATCTGGAAGTCCAAACTTGAGATTGATAAAAAGCTACAGCCATGTTCTAGTGGTTAGAGGTACACACTACCACACTGTAGGTCCATCGTCCGAGTAACATTGACTTAAAAGTATAGGTCCCTCCCCTTTGAGTGGTAATATCAAGGCGCACACTATAATTCGGAGGAGAAGCTTGGCCATGCAAAAGCAAATATGTAAGTGTCAGATATCTGTCTATCTCTAGACGGCTTCGTGCAAGCTGTCCATTTCATCAACCCCAAAGAACATAAGCTCCAAGTTTTTCTCTATATTCTTGCAGCTTTTGAGTACAATAAGCCGACTGCATTTCTCGTAGGAGCTTTGAGTTGAGTTCACTGTACATATTTCTAGTTCGAAAGAAAGCGCAGTACTATGCATTACTATTTCTTTACACTGAATTTCTATACAAGGAATGCCACTACTCCGTCACTGTATTCTATTCAGTACTACGCACATTCTCTCCTGAAAAAAAAAAAATCTTCAATATTAATTTTACATTATTTTGTTTTACAGGTTTCCGATGCGCGTGCGTTTGCGCCATCCTACGATTTAGCCTCGGTTAGTCCTTTTAAACTTTGTAGTGATAACACCATATCCGAAATGGAAAATCCTAAGAAACGAGTAACTTTAAGGTAAGCTGGAAATACTAGCTACAACTTTTTTGGCATTAGCATAAACATTACTCCTCGATTAGATCCGCCTCGAATCCTTGCGACAGAGGAGTGTACAAAGATGATAATTTTGCTATAACGATACCTGGCCTAACTGAACCTCTATGTAGTAGTTTAAAACCGAATTTACGAAAGGAAAACTCAAGTAAGTTGTCAGCGAAATTAGTTATATAAATACAAATGTTAATATAATTATGTATTTTATTTAAATAATTTTCCTTAGTTATACTCATCGATGAGGTTGAAGACTTCGAAGAGGAGGATCTCAATTGCGAAGGTGAAATGGATCACTACCCCTCCTGGGAGATCGACAGCGATGCTGGAGCAAATATTGATCTCGACTGTGAAGCGGCGGCCGAGGATACTGCGCTACTACAACAGATATCTCAAACGAAAATTATTATTACTTCCGTTACGCCTGTAAGTAGATCTAATAGTGCAATAGATAATATTTTTTCAATTAAAATGGCATAATTGTTGCTTACAGGTAAGCTCAGCAAATAATCTGACAGATTTGGATAATGAATCCGCGGATACGCCTACAAAATCATCATTACTTTTCCCGCATTCTGGCTAAATTATATTTTGTACATATTTTTTTACGTTTCGCATGCATTTTTTTATCCCATTTGTGTTCAGATTTAAGTAAAAAGATTTTTTAATTAAAAAAAAAAACAAAAACACATTTAGAAAAGTTAATCATAAAATTTTAAAATTTACCTAAAATTAGAAAAATTAAAAAAATAAAATAAAACAATTTAATTATAACGATATTGGTATTATTTTCATTATTATGTTGGGTAAAAACACGCCGCGACCTAAAAGGTCTTACCGTGCTTAATCCTAACTGCCATACCTAAACAAAAGCGTCAGCGTTGTCTGGCTGTCTCATGCCATAAAATTTGTATGAAGCATACCGAAGCAACGCGGCGTCAACGCTGAACGGTTGGAAAATCCGATTTTGACAGGGCGTTAGGTATTGAAGTTGGCTGCAGGAAACGCCGAAACTGTCACAAAGAAACCTATGCTTATTGTTGATGTCATTTCTGCACTTGACATAGCGTTGACGCTTTTGTTTAGGTATGGCACCTCGGCATTCAGAAATCGCTCCGCCCAACGCTTTTGTATGGCAGTAATTTTTATCACTCCAACCTTAGGCTATTTAAGCACACTGGAGGTTGCCATGTTCCAAATTTTGGATGGAGAAAATAGTCGTTCTCCGAGGTATATCAGTCACTGTGGCTGAATGGTTAGATGGGCGTATTACCACTCCCTGTGTGTGTTCGATCCCTGTTCCGAGAAAAATCGATTTAGATAAAGTTTTTTCTAACAGCGGTTGCCCCTCGGCAAGCAATGCCAAAGCTCCGAGGGTATTTCAGCCATAAAAAGCTTCCCATAAAAACCATTACCCGTTCAAGAGCGGCGTAAAAATGTAGGAAGCTAAATTTAGGAAATGTAGGAAGCCCAATGTTGAGGATAGAGTATAAAGGCAATGGTTACAATAAACCCCTTCCGCAGCTCAATTGGCGAGCTATGGGGAAAGGCTACTGTAATACTATGGCTGTACACCACGGTAGTTAAGCCGATTTTCTATTACTGTGTAATAATACAATGAAACGCTCTTTTAAACGATGCCGATATTAGAAAGGTGGACAAAGTTCCAAAGTCCGCATTCACACTCATAACGGGAGCCAAATTATCGAAGACATCTACGAGACGATTTAGGAGGGGGTTACGCGCCCCGTATTCGCAGATGGCTGAAAGTTCGATGCTAGGGTTGGTGCTGGTGTATATTATAGGTTAGATTAAGTTATTTTTCAGTGGGACTCTACATTAAGTCGCCAAAATTCTCGAAACGAAAAGCAGTGGGACCTTAAAGTATACAACATGGAAAAGTAGCAGATGCAGTGTGTTATCAGCCAAATCTGTCACTATGAGGAGCATGTAACTGGACGTTGTATGGTGTTTGGTGCGCCTGCTAGTCTTTTGGAGACTTTTGGCGATGCAAATTAGCGATAGCACCATTCGTTGGTCCTTGGTGTTAACAAAAAAATGAAAACCCAGGCTTAAACTTTAGTCGTTAGAAATCATCTATATTTCAGCTGATAGTAAATATAAATCCAAAATAATAAAAACCCTTCCTGATAGCCGTTAAATGGCATAGATTCATAAAATAGAGTCTAGATGAAAACTTCTTGTGTAGACAGTTCTTCGATAATTTGCAAGACCTAAAGTTTTTGGTAATCTTATCCTTTAAACGATATCAGCAAGCTCAACTAACGGTAGTTTGGGGAACCGTGCTGTTGTGACGTGGTCGAACCCTTGGGGGAGATGTATTAGTCAAGTAAGTTTAAAAGAGCATGTAAAAACGCAATTAGTGTGGTGTATACGTTGGTACATCGATGTAGAGTCTGGATAAGGAATAACTTAACCACCTGCAACATCCAGACGACTGTAGTTGTTCCAGAGTTATGCCGGTCTTGCGAGGAAGCTGAAGACCTTTTTCTGCAATTGCGGCTGGTTGAACTCCGATGACGCTATTTATTCGGTGAGCGTTGGTGAAGGTAGCGATAGCTTCTCTGTGGATGCCATTTATTGCATTCCTGTACAGCGTCGGCAACAGTGGTTGTCGTACGTAGTCCTGGATGTCGTCCTTCAATTAAAAAGAATACCTTATGACGTACCTAGCGGACGTTCTCCTTCCAGGATGAACCTATCCGGATGCATGAAGAGAAGCTCCACTTTGTTGGCTGATTTTCCCTGGTTTAGTAGTGGGAGCACGCTTCTTGTTTTCCATAATCCGGAGTAACATTAATAGTCATCGAAAGGCAGAGGGCCTTGGTGAGTTACCCTACTAAGTTCGGACTCAATTGAGCATCAGCAAGCATATTTCGAAAGAATGAAAGGCTTTGAAGACTCGACATTTGGCTTTATCCATCGAAGGGTGCTAAATATTAAGTCTGCCCTTCCGATCATTACACCGTCTTAAATGCCAAAGATCGTAATGGACGTTTAAGTCACCCATTACCATGCGGCTTTCATCTCTGAGGTGTGCACCTATGTATGTATATACCTTGAATACTTCGAGCTCGACATCGCCTGACTAGGATAGATGGGCTTGGCTGCCTTGGGTTGGTCGCAGCGGTGGTTTCTGCCTGGCGGTGGTTGTTATCGTATGTAGCGGCACTACTAAGCCCCGCCTATTTCGGTGTGTCCATCAATCGTTGTGGTCAAGCTCAACTAAAGACAGGCCCAAGAAACGGGCTATTTCGACGGGATCGGACCAAAAGGAGAGGGGTATTAGTTGAGTGGATTGAGCTGGCGTATGAAGAGATGGTTGGTGTCGTGCGGTGAGTCTCTGCATGACGGTCACTCATTAGAGGTATTAGGGTCGAGTCTGGACAGGTAACAGTTGAGACGGCTGCAATATTCAGACCATAACTGGGCTGCCTGGCGGTGCTGAGCAGCTTTGCTCGGCTGAGCTTTGTGGACCGGTGTAGGCTCTTCGGGTGCTACGATTCACCTACGCAATTCATGTGGATCTCGGATCGAATATGATGCGAGTCCGAATCAGAAAGTCGAAGGAAGAGCAAGCCCGCTGCGAGCTGTTATTCCAGGATGAACGCTTAGAATGGTACACCGATCTAGACCGGGTTAGATGGCTAAACAGCAGTCCTCGGTCTGTTAAAACCCGAGTCTTCTGAATCTGAAACGGCTGCGGCTAAAACGGAATGTTTTTTTAGTTTACTCATATTTCATTTAGGAACAAGTTAAGATTTATAAGATTTATCAAAGGCGAAAACATCTGTTCTTGTAAAACCAGCAAAACCTGCAAGTCATGGAGTACGGGAACAGTCTAATTATAAGTTTGCACCAAAAAAATTGTGTACCATTGAAATCGGAATAAAAGGGCGGACAACGCCATCTTTTTGTTTTTTCTGGCTTACGTAGGGTTTACACCGGACAATATTGTCATGAAAATAATGTCAAAATGATGTGTTTGTTGTAAACACGGTGAATTCATATTACAACAAACACATCATTTTGGCATTATTGTCATGACAGTATTGTGTGATGTAAACCCTAAGTTAACGGGCCGTAATTTGCACTTATTCCATAGTTTCGTTCCTCAACTTTTCTGGATAAAACCTGTAAAACGGTCAAAATCAAAAATTGCTCTCAGAGAAAGAGAGAAAATCCGAAAAGTACGAGAACGCTTTCCGGGTAAAAAGAGCTACAACTGTCAAGTACACCGTGGACGCCATTTTTTGTTTACATAGCATTTTTTTATTTATTTGGCGATATTCTAAATTTTGCTCAAATACACAGAAAATTAACAAAAATACTTACAAAACTTGATATTTCTTCGCTAGGATATATTCAATAAGTTGAAAAAGCAGATGCACTTGTGTTTTTACTTATACAAATTTGAAATCATTTGAACCACTTATCGTTTGACACTTTACCAGATTTTACCAGCAAAAATTCTTCGTGTAAAATCTTGCACTTTTTGAGAAAGAGAAGACCAATTTTACTCTCCCATTTTTCCCCTACTTGGTCAGAGAACCGAGTACGGGAACGCTTTCTGGTAAAATCCAGAGGGTCAATTCCCGTTCTGCGTTATCGTGAAGTAAAGTGAAAAGTATAAAATTAACACCGAAATAAATGCGGTGTAAAGGTGTTATTTTTATCACTTCACGTTAATGCAGAACGGGAATTGACCCTCTGTAAAAGCTTGCAGCTTCTGCGTGTTAGGAACGCAACTCATAATTTCAGCGTGATGTTAACGCTAAACTAATTTCTTCTTACGTTTTCCAAACTCATTACGTTTGTATTACGCCATGCAACTCTGAATGCTTTTTAACGAATCTCGTAAAGTTGGCTGCGCTTGGCCGCCCTCTGTGACGAAGATTTTCGCCAAAGCTGCGGCAATTGTAATCGTACCTTGACCAAAACAAAAAGCAATTCTACGTAGCTGCCAGAGAAATAGTGAAAAGTGAGAGTATTGTGAAATTTTCATCAACTGAGGATTCTTGGAAAGGTAATTAAAAATAAATCGTCTTCTACTTGGGAGCTCGTGATTTTTTGATATGATAATTGTGCATAATTTATTCAAAACACCTGAAAGATATTTCTAGAGAATTATTTATTCCGAATATTCTCGGCTTTGTGGACAAAGAAAACCAATTAAAATGTTTACCTAGACGGGTTTGAGTGCAATATTGATGATTTTTACCCACATCGTGTTTAGCTAATTGCAGCATAGCAAAAATACTTGCAAGCGTATGACCTTAAAATGGCACCCGGAAGCCACCAATGTGGACTTCTGCTATCAATGAGTCATTCTTCCGTTTTGTGTAATCAAGCCGCTGTTAGTGCCCAACATTAATAAGTGGCGTAGGGTTTTTTGCTGTTTGCGCACAAGTATGAGTGCGTATTTAATCTCTGCCCATTTACTGCTGTATACATATGTAACCAAATACAAAGAGATCAAATTGTTGCACATGCATGTTATAAAAATGCATTCGTACTAGGAATATGTATACATACATATACATATGTATGTATGTAGACGTCATTTTCTCAAGATGAAAGCAAGCAGTGGAACTTGGCATACTTCACAATAAGCTGCATGATATGTTCTATTCAAGGAAATTAATAAAAATAGCACAAATGTTGTTTTTGTAACAACAAAATTCTCCAAAACATTTTGGAGAATGCTGTTGAAAATAAACAAACGTACATACATGCATACATATGTATTTGTTATTATTCGCATTAGGCGATGCTCTACAATTGCAAGAATGTTATTATCCGAGCTTTTCTAAATTTCACCAATACTTGCTATATAATATATATGACTTTAAATTAATTAATTGTCTTAATTTCAGGTATTTTGAAGACTAGTAACTTCTTATTGTATCAAAGGTTTCTTTTATGGGTGAGTTGCAAAGCAGCATAATTAACTAACGCATTTTCTTTTCTTTTTTTTATAATTTTCTCCACACAAAAATCTAGTTTAGTACAAAAAATTTACATCCATAAGTGGTGAACCAAAACATCTGTATTTAGAAAGTCTTGAAAACGTGTTTGTAGTATCGGGAAGCAAGCAATACCTTTATAACTAGAAATGTCGTGGCAAGCTGGTCCAAATTATCAAGGTTAATTTAAGTTTTTATTTATTTAAGTACTTAAGTAATATTTAGTGGCATGTTGAAAGGGTTTGCTTTGACTAGTTGAAAGTAGGTAAATAGCAGTTTGCATATGTTAACGAGCTGTTGAACGTGGCAAGTGCAAGCAGTTTTGCAGTCTCAAGCTCCAGAATTTTCAAAAGTGATTGCAGAGCTGTTACGAAAAAATTTTAATTTCCGAAAATCGGATTATATCAGAATAGGTACTACTTTTTGTCTGCGGTGCACGGTGCATGCAGAAAATTCGACTTTCAATTGTATTACCAGACATTTGAATGCGTATAAAATATTAAGGACTTAAAAAGTTTATAAATTAAAAATATTTTCACAAAGATGGGTATACCATATTAAAAATAGAAGAAATAATGGCTCTTAAACTAATTTGAGAATTGTGATTTACTACATGAAAATTAGGCAATATAATAGAACGCTAATTATTCTTAAAATGTCGCCAAGTCAGACCATAATGAAAGTATTTCTTCAAATCTACAGAAGACATTATGGCTGTTTGCACAAGAAAGTAAACCTTTGCATTTTGGCAGCAAAATGAGTAAAGAAAACGCTTGAATTGCCACGTCTAACGTCAATAATAAACAAGCTAGAAGACTAACTTGGACTAAAAAATGTTATAATAGCGTAGCATATTCATCAAAAGCATCATAAGTACACGTATACATATTAGCGTTGCCGAAAGTCCCGTATTTGCTGGGACGTCACGTATTTTGCAACATTTTTAAAATGTTCCGCCGGGACAAAAATGTCCTCGAATTTTCGACAATTTCATTATTCATTTCAACCTATTAACTTGTACTCAACATGGTCACGCTTAATCGCGGCTATTGCGAACAGGTCATTAGCAAGCATTATTGCATGCAACTCTGTCAGACTCTAAAAATTACCGTTGATTTTTAAGTCAAGATAAGATAAAAGTCAGTTTTGTTCATGCGTTCTATGGAAGAAAATTCGCTACACCCACAAAATAAATTCTAAAAAATCAACGGTCATTTTTAGCGACATGAAACTTGCACTAAAATGGAATGGGCTATAAAACCACATACTCGAAATCTAATTTAAAAAAAAAAAAACTTAATTTTGATGTACATTTTTTAAAGTTTAATTAGTTTTTATGAACTTTGTGCAAGGCTTTGATTTATTTGGTATCTGATATATGTAAAATTATTAACAATAATAAATAAAGATAAGTTGCGGACAGCATCATATTCAATTTTGCTGCTATTATTTTGACCGCTGTATCTCTTACTTTGTTTTTATCGTTTGGTCAATTGTAAGTCTACGTACATACCAAGGCGAATTAATATATAAATTCGCCTTGGTACATACATATTTTTGTATCAATTAAAAAACTTTGTCTTGAAATACACGAAATTTATCATAAGCTTATAATTAATCTGAACATTACTTTCGTTTATTTCTCATTTGTCTCGTTAAATTTTTGTAAATCCCGTATTTTTGGGACAAATTATGCGTTTGTCCCGTATGGCTGGAACATATATCTGGCCACACTAATATATATGCACTGGTGCCGAAGTAATAGACTCGTGGTACTTTGAAGAGTTTCGGCTACATTTCTTTAGTTTATTTTATGTTTAATAATTTTTTATAAAAGCCTATGTAGTTATACAAGAAACACCATATAAATCCGCTTTTCAAACTTTGAACAAAAATTGTAAAAATTCGACCAATTTTCACCAAATTTTCAAACTTTTTATTCAGAATTTTTAGAAAAATTTTAGGTGTGCAGTTTTGTAGCCCATTCTATTTTAGTATAATAACGTGCAAGTTTGAATTGGCTACAAAATACTGTTGATTTTTAAGATTTTTTTTACGAAATCGAGTCCCTTAGCAAGGCTTTATGTGTGTGTGCTTGTGTGTGTGCGTGCTTGTGTGTGTGCAACCTTTTGTAAAGGAGTGTCGAAACTCGAATGTCACTAGTGAGCAAACCTTTAATTATTAAATCATGGTATCAATCCACTTTCCGGAGAATACATTTTTACATAGTATATTGCCAGTGGCATTGTCAAGTCGTGTGTAAGCCACATTTCTCATAAAATAACTTACGCTCATTCTTTAATACATACATACATCGCTTAAAACATATGATACGTTTTGTTTTATATATTTATTTTTGTATTTGTATGAGAATTAAATTTGCCGCATAGTTAATTTTTTGCACGAAAACATTCGACCCTGTTAAAAGTGCTTTTTATTATTGTCTTGCAAGCATTTTCATTCCTACAACATAATTTATGGAAACCTCCATTTTTCAATAATTTATCTTGCATTTTATTAATATTCTATGTATCTTCCACAACAGATCCTAACCAACAATATTATGGCGGTTATCCGCCGCAAGCTGGCTATCCACCCCAAGGTGGTTATGCCCCTCAAGGTGGCTATCCCCCCCAAGGTGGTTACCCTCCCGCTGGAGGCTATCCACCACAAGGTGGTTACCCTCCGGCTGGAGGTTACCCGCCAGGCGGTTACGCACCACAACCAGGATTTGTTGTACCACCTGGCGGCGGCAGTGGTTATGGCGCCTACGATGATCCTGAAGGACAACCAAAGAATTTTTCTTTCGATGATATGAGCATACGCAAAGGGTTCATACGCAAGGTCTATATGATACTAATGGTATGTAAATCATTTTCAAAAAGTATAAGTGCTCTTTACTACTGATCTAATTGATGTTTTCAAAAATGCAGGGTCAACTAGTGGTCACTTTTGGTTTTGTGGCGCTATTCGTTTTCCATCTACCCACCAAAGAATTCGCCTATAGAAACCCGGCTCTATTTTGGGTTGCATTAGTAGTTTTGCTTGTAACAATGATATGCATGGCCTGTTGCGAAAGCGTACGTCGTACTACACCAATGAACTTTATTTTCCTTGGTCTATTCACGCTAGCTGAATCATTCCTAATGGGCGTATCTGCTAGCCGATATGCACCGAATGAAGTAAGTTTGATTCGTTGTTTTTTTTTTGCGTATGATTCTCTAATTTTTCCTCTCAATTTTACAGGTACTTTTAGCAGTGGGAATTACGGCTATGGTCTGTCTTGCTTTAACGCTATTTGCCACGCAAACCAAATATGATTTTACCATGTGCGGTGGTGTATTAGTGGTTGCAATGGTAGTGTTCCTCGTTTTCGTTCCAGCTATATTCATCAAAGGAAAAATAATAACTTTGGTTTATGCCTCCATCGGTGCATTGCTCTTCTCTATTTACCTTATTTACGACACTCAACTAATGATGGGCGGCGACCATAAGTATTCCATCAGTCCAGAAGAATATATTTTCGCAGCACTCAACCTATACTTGGATATTGTAAACATCTTCATGTACATTTTGACAATAATAGGAGCGTCTAGGGACTAGGAGTAAACGTGTATTAAATGTGTACAAGGCAAATCGCAAGCAGCAAACAAGTAGCTGCATAATTATTCTTTCCATTTTCCTTAAATTTTCTTCTTAGGAAGTACGTTTATATGCATACACATGATTTTGGATTTATTCTATGTGTGTGTATTTATTTTATAAGTAATAGGAATCTCAATCGATAATTATTTCAAAATTTTACTGGGCTTATCAAGTACAAAGTTTTTGTCTTTAAAAATTTGTAATGAACGATTCTCGTTCCATTTTTTTTTTTTCAAAACGAGCAGCACAGTTAATAATTTATTAGAAGCAGTTAATTGCATTTTCTTTAAAAAATCAAATTATAAATATCAATTTAATGATTTATATTTTATGTATACATAAGTAACTGGTAGTCTTTTGAAAATTTTTGCTCTATTATTCTTAAATTTTTTGTAAGAGCGCTAGCAAACACGAAGAAGAATATTAACCAAAATTTAAAAAAAGTTACTTGTTAAAACTATTGTCCTACACATAACTACATATGTATAATGTAAAGAATTAAGTGCATACGTATGCATTATTTACGAACTCAACTCTAGAAATATTTTTGTTTTCTGTTTTGTTTACTTTATATTTTTTGTATTATTTGGTTAGTTGTAGCATTCAAAATATATGCAATATGAAAAAATATGTACATTTATTGATTAAAAATCTTCAGACTTTCACAATTCTCTTAAATATTTTAAATAAAAGTAAAAAGGCAAATAATAGAACTGAAATGAAGTTATTTGCTTACTCCAGTTAAATTTGTGTCACGACTAAAGTGTTGATATTGCGTTTGCGGCATTATCACTATGCAGTTCCGTAGAAATGGTTTTCATGTGAGAATTGCGATTTGGTATTATTTAGCAACTTATTGCGCTACATTTTATTGTACTAAAAACAATCAACTAAAATTGTAACAAAGCTACTGAAAACCGTTAAAACCTGGAAAGATCTAATTATTGTGTTGATTGAGGATTGAATTAATATTTAAAATAATATATGTATGAATGTAATAACAAAAAAGGACTCATAAAATACAATAAAGTATTTATTCTATATAAAAATTATTATTTTTCACTTACATAAATAAGAGTGCAGCAGCATGAAGGACTTTGTGGGCTAGTCATAATAAGCAAGAGTTATTGGCACCCCAAACGCCCAAACTATATTAGGGCTTTTCATTTAAACGTTTAAATGGCTTGTAACTGCGTTGATGTACTTAATTTTGTATGCAAAACCGGTTTTATACGAGGTTTACGCAACATCTTACGTAAAAATCTAAATAAATACAAATGCAAATACGCGGTTACGAGACATTTACGGGTTTAGATGAATACCCATACCGAATAGGAAATATTATTATTTATCAGTTCATTTCGTTATCAACAGATAAGATAAGGATGTTTATCTCTCATAGACTGGAAAAAACACCTGCATTCGGGAACTTTTGATAGGTTCGTTATTGGAAATACTGAATACTACTGATAAGGAGGTTTATCGTTCACGCTAAAAAAGAACATCTGCTGCGTTAGCCACTGAAGTTGGGAAGTTTCATTTTTTTTTTTTAATATTTCAGTACGAATTTATACGCTCACCGAACTAGACTCGTTTCTTCGTTGTATATCGAGTTTTTACGTATTGTAAACGAAAACTAAAAATGTATCAAGGCAAGTACACTTACATGGAAATAATTGAAAGCTGACATACATATGTATATTGCAACAAAATGAAAAGTTTAAAATCGTGGGGATTCACAAGTGCATTGATAACAACGTTGACTCATCAAATTAATATTGTATTCGGAGTGATCGCTAAATCAACGGATAAAGTGTCGAAACTATTTACTAGTTACTCGCTGTGGGGAACTCTCTCTGATCAATGGCTAATCAATCGCTGAGCAGCAAATCTATTTATGTATATCTGTTCTTTCAGTGTTTTATTTAGTACTTCAGAGAATAATGCACATACAGACGCATGTATTCTAGAATGTTTTTATCTAAAGGTGGTGGGTTGACTAACGGTTGCGAATATGAGTCAGAAGCTCAAAAATATAGAACGGTACTAGGTTTAGTTATCGATTAGATCTTTGCTTTGGCACGTAGAGACAAATACATAGTATGTATATAAACATACATACATATTTCTACAAACTTTTGCAAACAATTATATGTATGTACCTACATCACTTAAATGTTTATACATACATATATATGTACGTACAATTGTACATCCACTAATATTTTATTCCAAACTTGACTTCCACTTTCTGATGCATATCTTCATTTTTATTTAGACAAGTGTATGTATTATGCTGGTTCCAAAATGCATGTGAAAAAGTAAAGTTGGAATTTTTAAGCTCTCACCACCTAGGATTGTTCTATACCGAATAAATATATATACCCAAATTTTTTTATTTAGAAATCAAAAAATATTTCAGATCGCTCAAAGCGCTCAAAATTGTCCATGTATTTTATATGCTGAAAAAACAATTTTTTTAGAAATGGTATAGAATTCTTGAAAATCAAACTTTTCGATCGGAAAACTATGTTTCTCTTCAGGGACCAATAACACAAGTAATTTTTGGAAGAAAATACGCAACACCCTCAGCAAAAAAAAATCTCAAAAATTAACGGAATTTTTCGAATTTTCAAATCTGCCCTTTATCATTCTAAAACTAAATAAGCTACAAAACTGCATAGCCAATAAGTTTCTAAAACATCTGTTTATGTTATACTACTATATTTTTATAAAAAGAAAGAAAAATGTATCACTAAAACATTGTGAATTTAGTAAAAAATAAAAGTGTGCTATTTAGGTGAGCGCCACTGTATATTAGGGGAAATCTAATATACTTAGGGTCGCTTTCTCAAGTGACCAGTAACTTTGAAGCTCACTTTATATTTAAAGGTTGCATCAAAATTTATGATTGATTTACAACCAAGAAACATACATACGTCGAAAACCGATAATGGAAATGCTTAACTTTAGATATAGCCAAGGTACATTGAACAGGTAGTATCAGTAGAGCAGCTGATTTGATTTATTTTCAAATGATTTGGTCTCGAAAATGTCAAATATTTTTAATTTTTTCTCACAAAAATTCTGAATTGTTAAAATCCATTTGCATGTGAAACCTTTTTCCATACAAAACAAGCGATTGAATAGCAGCTTTTGGAACGTTCGCCCAACTCAGCAGCACAACCGCTGATTACTGGCCCTTGTAAAGGATGGATCAATGCTTCGAGAAGCAAACAAATTTACTAGGAAAGAAAGTTGCATCAATTTTTATTTTTTCCAATTTCAATTTTTTATAATTTTTTGTATTTCACCTGGCAAATGGCACGCTTTGATTTAGAAGAAAAAATTCAGAACAGTTTTTGACACTTTCGATACCAGAAGCAACAACAAAATACACGCAAATGTTGTTTTTGCTCTACTGATACTACCTGTTTAATGTGCCTTGGCTATATCCAAATTGAAAATAAATCAAATCAGCTGCTCTACTGATACTACCTGTTCAATGTACCTTGGATATAGCCTTATTTCTAATCCAACGTTTAAATATAAACTAAGCTTTTGAGGTTAAATGTTTCTTCAGAAAACGGCACTTAAGCTGGATTTATACGAGGCGATTTTCTAGGTGATTCAACATTGCTCCAGAAAAATTGCTCGTGTAAATGGTGATTCAAAAATCGGTTGCCTCAAAGTAGACAGCAAGTCAACTTTTACAGGCGATTATCGCCTCATGTAAAGGCAGCTTTAGATAGCAAAAATTAAACACCAAACCAAAAAGTTACCATACTGAAAAATTAATTACGAAATTTTACGATGAAAAAGTTACCAAAACGGCAACGCTGGTCCTACCTCTACGGCATAGTCCATCAAAGCTCTGACATTTGCACGCAAAACAAAAAACTCTGAATATACAGGCCAACAAAATCCTAACGACTTTATGCGGTACTGCTAATAACCATTGATCGTTTTTTCACAGCACGGAGCCACAGACGTGGTCACCCAAATAGACAGCTGCTTGCAGAAGAGCTCTCGCCCAGGCACGTCAGGAGGCATCTCTATGAACTGGCGGACGAAGTCCAGAGGTTCATTATGCAGCCTCTGGACCCGTCAGCATATCGACAGGCCCTGAATGGCATTCACAGAGAGTCAGTCTCGAGTTATGTAGACTCCAGACCTGTGAATGCCGTTCTGGGCACACAACCACCGGACATCGACGAGACGGAGCTTCATCTGCCTCTGGAGACTAAAACTACAATAGCCCAACTTCGCTCTGGCTACTGCAGCAGGTTAAACGCATACCTGAGCAGATTAGACGCAGATGTGCCAAATGAGTGTCCGGAGAGACACCCCACGACTCGAAACATCTCCGGAAAAGTCGACAACACTAACGCGTTTGTCCCTGTGGACCGACCTCATTGAAGCTGCACGCTTCCTGGGCTTCCGTTAGTGGAGCTTGACGACAACGACTGAGATATTAACCGATCTGGGCGGGGTCGTTGTAGCCGCTACAACAACAACAACAATTAATAACCCGACAATTTTCTTGATGACCTTTGGCAGCTTACTTTCCTTTTCAGCGTAAATAAAGCAGAAATCCGAAACAAGGTTCTCTAATCAATCTCCGCCCGGTTCTGAATTACGCTATGCCTGTGTGGTCACCGGGTACTAATAAGACGCAGCTTAAGACTTGGCCATCCGAACAGATATTTCTGAATACAGAGCACGTCAGAAGGCATCTCTACGAACGCAAGGTCGAGATCATGCTTAGGTTAGGTTGTTGTAGTTGTACCAGACAACTGAACAGAATCGGCGAAACGCCGTTAGTCGATTACGAAATGAAAAATGCGTCTAATTTCAATGCCTGCAAATGCAACGGAGTTGGACTGATGAGATATTTTTTGAAGCGCTGCCGTGGCGGCTAGTTTTTAGTAATTTTCTTCATCAAAGTTTTTTTTTGTATAAATAAAAAAGGGGATGATAAGAGGGATAATGCTGCTGATTTCTTCCCCGGTACTGTATTGGTGATTCTATTTAATTGATTAAAGCCTACTTAGGTACGTTTATACGTTGCACTAACAACACACTTACAAACATGCACAAAAAAGCACGCACACACACACACACGCTGATAGTTTGCACAAGCTATTTGAACAAGCTACTAACTCCTTATCTTTGTGCTTACACGTACACACTACGAAATTTCATTACTCTCTAAAATCACAATAATAATAATAATAATGTTGCCGATTTCTCACTACGGCAATAAATCGGCGAGTTGCCAATTTGTTGCCATTGACGATTGTTGCCTATTTCTCATGTTTTGCATGGTGGGTAAAATCACAAAACCTACATTCTAACGCACACACTAACGCTAAAAACATTCTCGTAAAATTAAAAGTAGACAATTATATTAAAGACATTTTGAATAGCCGATAGAAAAATAAATACAACTCTCATTTCGATGGCTGAGTGTAAGATTGACTTATCTCAGCAGTCAGTTCGAAAACGCCCTATCTCAGAAAACTTTTCAAGGAACCCCCTACCCCAAAATTTGGTTGAAGAACGGCCTATCTCAGAATTCGGTTGAAAAATACCCTATCTCAAACGAAAATAAGTTCATTGAAAATGTGCTGAGATGGGCGTTTATGAAACGAATTCTGGGTAGGGCATTGTTGAAAACTTTTCTTAGATAGGGCGTTTTTGAACT